AAAAAATATTCGACATAGAAAAATGTTTGTGAAGAATTAAGAAAAAAATGAATTGTCCATGCGGGCTGACGTGTGGGCAAAATTCATGAGAAATGGGACTCCCATCGCCGCACTAAACGCGGAGAGGAGTGAGACGACGTCACTATTTGGTCACGTGACGTACCGTTAGACGCCATATTGGCAGTTTTAGTGCGTTGTCAAGGGTTCAGCTACGTTGCTGAGACGGTTCTCCATTACAATTCGCTCAAATATCGAAAATCCGTCGAAACAAATCGGCATTTTTCGCATAAAAGTGACGGCATTGAACACGGTTTATGCGATTGCACATTTGAATATCCCGGGCAAGTGTCGTTTGTTCGGGTATTTACGATTGTTCGGGAATTCACCTCACCGATTGGACGGTGCAGATGTTTTGTGTTTCTTTTCAGTGATATCTCATGTGCTATGGCGGGAATTCAAATTATTCCGACGATTTTATGGTAAATATGCTTGGTTATGTGCAGGAAACGGGGCCGAGGGGCCCCATTCGGCCCCCTAGTGGTGCGAGTTGGCGAAACAGGGTCGGGTTTTCCGTGCAGTGGCGTCGCTTGCGGCGCTGGGCATTTTGTTATCATTTCTCCAACTTTAACTCAGTGGCGGAGCGTCGGCACTTTTGCCTCGACGATTTACCCCATTTTCGTTCGTTCTGATCAAGCCCACGTTCGGCCCCACACCGCCGCCAGCTGTGTCACTTTGTTTATTCTTCAGCGCTTTGCCCGAATCATTGTTACTAATTAATTCAGTAATTATTACGCTTTGCCATTTAATAAAGCCTTTCCATCTCATCGCACAATTTCCATTTATTCTTGCTGAGGACAATGTCAAGGGCCTCGAATCGCCATCGTTGACTAATCAACTAGTTGCTAATTAATGCGGATAAAACTTGTTGAAAACTTTCCTGAAAAATAGCTGCTTCTGCAGCCAGGATTCTTTAAGTCCAGCATTCTCCTAGGCTCATTCCTTAAATCATTCATTTCATGAATTAAACAACAGTTTGGTTGGTGTATTTAGAAGATAAAAATGCTGTTTTGTTCCTCAAACCTTGTCATTTTATTCGTCTTTATTAAGCGAATTTATCGTACCGACGCGTATAAAGAATAGTCTGGAAAGTGACTGAAGTTTCGTCTAAAAACGCATGCATGAATGAAATTTTTAAAACCGCTCTTGGTTTTAGGCTGATATTTAGGGAACCAGTTGAGCTACAAAGCTCTAGTTTTCACCAGCGAATAGAGCATTTAATTGCGCACATTTTTTCATATAAACTTCAATGTGATAATTTTTCTGGTTTTCATGTTAATGGCTAACATCCAAAATTAGTCCATATCTAGAAAACCGCTCTTATTTTCGGCGTGTTTTTTGAGGCCCGGTTGAACCATCGAGCTCTAGTTTTCACCACTGAATAGCGCATTTAAATGTGCACATTCTAATATCGAACATCCTTTTGATACATTTTTTGGTTTCCTCGCCAATTAGCACATTTTTTCGCATTGCGTTTTGCCTCCAAGCGCCTCAAAAAATCGCTGCAAGCCAGTAAAATTGTGGCATTTTTCTAAACAAATTCCCAACAATTGCTTGAAGAATATTAGTTTTGGGTCATGTTCCCGGAATTGATGAGTAAATTCCTCAGTGGCGTGCGTGTTTTTACCGTAACACCTTTCCTCTTCCAAGCGCCGTCCGATCGCGCTTCTATCGGCTATTCTTTTGCCTCTCTTCATCTCGGCGCTTTGTATACAGGGTAACCCAAATCTCCACCCAATGCCCAATCAATATCGTTACTCAACATCAAAAAACTCTGGATTTGATATGTTGATCACCCGGTGGGATTTGTTAGGAAGAACACTTTTGTTCTGATGTTTTTCTCGAGGAAAGTCGGGAATTATTAAGGAGTTTGTTGCGAAAATGCGGATTTCGATCAGTTTTTCTACCATTTTCTCATTGAAATTGAAAGTTTTTTTGTGCGTTGGATTGCTGTTTTTTTATGTTAAACCGCTATCTCTCTGCATCGCAAAGTGGCGCCAAAAATCGCATTTTGGCCAGAGCGTGAGGTCCTTAAGAATTACCGCCTCCGAGATTTAAAAAAATCGTTGTTTTTCGTCCATTTTCCCAAACATGTAATTAATACGCTTCTTTTTTTCGTCCCCAGATCTAATTCTCTTCGAATATGGCGAAAGTGTTGACCGAAATGGGAGAAGTTGATGAAGTCAATTCAAATGAAGACGGTTAGTCGCTGTGCAATGCAATCATTTCGCGTGATAATCAACCTAATGTTGCAGGTGTTCTTCTAAATGGCTCCGCTATGGAAGTGGACAGTGTCGATAAAAGCCTGCCAGATGCTGGATCTGATATTAAAGACGCCAGTCTGGACAGCAAGGACGGAGAAACTGAAAGTAGCAGAGAGGACGCAACGAGTCAGAGTGCTATGGACGAGGACAGCCAGGACAGCCAGGACAGCCATGCCAGGTAATGCTCAACTTGACTGTTGTTTGGGTGATTTAAATGATTTTTTTTTGTGCAGCCAAGAGAGCGTGGATGGCAAGAGTCAGAGCAGTCAGGACAGTCAAGACTCCAACATGGAGGCCGATCATGTTCCTGAAGAAAACGGCAGTCTAGGGGAAGATGTTGCTGCCACCAATGGCTGCATTCCCCCAGCTGAAGACAGCGAAAACAGCAACACCAGCAGCGAGAAAAACGAAGAAGATAGCAGGTGGGACTCCGTCCTTACCAATCAGGAATTGAAGTTTTAACAGTTTTTTGTTCAATTTTCAGGAGCAGCGGGTCAAGAGCCCCGGATCAAGACCCACTAAATGACGAAGCCAGCGAGAACAGCCAGGACGGGACAACTGATGCGGATAAGAAAAGCGAAAACGGCGAAAAAGTCAGCATTGCCCCAACTTTTCCCTTTGAAAGAGACTAATGTATATTTATTCGTTCAGGAAGTCGCCGAAGAGCCTTCAGCCGAACTTGTGCCCATACCTTCAGCAATAACCGGCGAAGTTACGCTGGAAAAGCTGGGAAAAAGCGAAACCGTTAAAGGTCAGGACACCATTGAGCTTAACAGTGAGGATGAAGGTAAGGAATGGAGCCAACTGGCTATTAGTGGTCTAATCAGTAGTTTACCCATGAAGAATATGCCCGTTTGATCAGTGCTATCCATTGTAGAGCATAGTGTTTGTCTCGAGCTTAGTTTAGTCGTAATAGGGCGCAGGTCTGGTAGATTTAGCGTAAACTACCCAAAAATCTACCGGAACTGACTTGTATATATGGGAGATTCAAATCTCAAACGGTCAATAGTCACTAACTTAATTGCCCAGTAGAGTAGAGATGTTTGTTTGCTCATGAATTCCGGACGTTCTCCCAATATCTTGTTCCTGCTGCCTCTCCTGCTTCCTATTTCCCGTTGAAGGGCAAAACCGTAAGAGACCCGAGCCGGTTGCTCCGCTCGTGTTCCTTTGTTCTAAACCGACTGATCCGTTCCTTATCAGGGGACGTTCTCTTTGTCAACGACTCTAAAACAAACGGCACCGAAGTGATTGACTTGGTAGAGAGTCCAGAAAAGAGTCTTCCCGATAACTCCGACAAAGCGCAGCTGGAGGCGGCGGCGCCCAGGAGAAGCTCTCGAAATGTCAACAAGAGCAGAAGCTACGTGGAGGAGAACGAGAAGGAGGACACTCCGCCTCCTGCGCGACCTGCCGCCGAATCCGAGGAGTCAGACATCGAGGAGGTTCTACCGCAGGATCCTTTAGGTAAGGACGAGACCCCCTCATGTAGGTTATTTCGAAGGAGGAGGAGGAGGAGGCAAGTTCCACACTGTCTCTATACATGCTTGCTGTATAGAATACTGCTCGAGTATTTTGGTTTTTCGTTTTTAAATCGATGCTGATGAAATGAGAGGAGGACCTGCCTACTAAAGCGAAACTCTTTGTGGCTGTTGAGTGAATGTGGGTCTTTGTTTCAGCTGTCAATGACCAGATAACAGTGGAACGCATTCCGAGCATCAAAAAGAAACAGACGGAAAACTCGTCGACGATAGTGGTGAAAGACACTAAGCGCTTGGTCGAGATTGCCTCAAAGTCCTCGCCCAGCCACTCGACGCATCCCAGCGGCAAAAAGGAGCCCACTTTGGTCATCATTGACACCAATGCGATACTCTCAGGTGAGGTTCAGTTTTTGCAATTTTTCCATTTGGAAAAAATCAGTTTTGACAGTGATCACTCCAAACGGGTTCCCCAGGTGAGTGGCACAAGCGATGACTGTCCTACCTTGATCTTCATTCAATGAATTTTTGAACTTACTGGCCGGCGGATAGGGCGAAAATTCCAGATTTATTGGACTTTTTTATCTCCAGAAAAGTATCATCGAATTGAATCAGACCATTCAGCAGTAGTCATGGCTATGAGTGAGAAAATCATTAAAAATCAAGACTCACCAACAAAACAACGGATTCTAAGTGCTTCCAAGCTGACCTACAAGAGGAGATCGCGTTGAACGTAAGATTGAAAATAGCCGAACAACTCGACATAGAAACCGAAAAATTTACCACTCTGCTGCAAACAATTGCCTGCAAAAACACCACAGAAATTACACATCGCGAAAGGAGTAAACCATCCGGTTGAAATTCGGATTTTAGTCCAAGAGAAAAGAAAAGCAAGAATACGATGGCAACAAACACGTCATCCTAGCGATAAGACATCATTAAATAGACAAACTCAAAAGCTAAAACGTGAAATTTACAAATTAAAACAGAACTCTAAATTCCATTATTACAAATTTATCAGCAGATAAAGAAACTGACTATTCCTTGTGGAAGGTTAGAAAGAAAATTAGAAAACCAGTTGTGCCAATGCCGCCTATTAGAAAGGGACTAAGCGATTGGGCTCGTGATGATCAACAAAAAGCCGATCGATTTGCTGAATATCTGGCAGGCGTATTTGTACCAAACAACATACAGTAACCCACCGGTTGCAGACAATATTTCGTCCTCCGAAGTTACTCCGAAAGAAGTGGCAGAAGAAATTAATAATAATCTCAGCCCACAAAAGGCTCCTGAGTGTGATTTAATTACAGGACAAATCCTGAGACAACTGCCAAAAAAGGGGATACTGATGTTAACACATCTATTTAATGCTTCAAACAGGATTAAACATGTACCGGCAATGTGGAAAATAGCTGGTCATCATGGTTCCCAAGCCTGGTAAACCTCCTCAACACGATGTTAAGTCGTATAGACCAATTTCCCTCTTGCCAATAATATCAAAACTTTTTGAAAAACTGTTGCTGAAAAGACTTAAAGAAATATTAGAGAAACAAAAGTTAATCCCCGATCACCAATTTGGAATCCAATCAAACCACTCTACAATTGATCAAGTGCACCGAATAACTGATGTAATGAGAAGTCAGTAGAAGAAAAGAAGGTCTGTTCAGCACTATTCCTCGACGTATCGCAGGCGTTCGACAAAGTATGGCATGAAGGGCTGGTCTACAAAATAGGTAAAATGTTACCCCAACCGAAAGGAGTTACAATAGCAACATATGCGGATGACATAGGATTAATATCAACTGACACAAATCGAGTAACAGCC